ACTGCTGCTTAGAGCCAAAAGAATAAGTTATTAATATAATCACCTTTTATGGGTGGTAACAGATACAAAAGCATATAAGCTTCTATGTAATCAAGCTCGAATGACATACAAACTCCAAATAATTATCATTACCTTATCATCATCACATGAATGCTTTTTAAAAAAGTTAGGTTCATTATTCAGGCAATTGCTATCATTTTCTCTTATCCTGTCCTGTAATAAATAATATAAAATTAAATTATTAAACTGGGGAGTTTTCTAATATGGAGTAATTATAAAAATAACAATGTTATAATACTTGGTAGTTATATGTACATTTTCAGGGAAATACCTTTAGCTTGGCTTAGCTGACTAGGCATGGAAAATAGTTTCTATAGTTGAAGAATAAACAAGTATATCCACAAAGCCCCACAGACACAGAGCTCCCTCCCGACTCCATAGTTTAACCCCAGAAATCATTGAAAGAATCTGACTCATTTGGGGAAATAAAAGCACCTATTTTAGAAGTTATACTATAAACAGAAAATATTATAACTTTGAGATCTTAAAGTTGCAATGCATTTAAGAGGTTATTTGGCCCAATTTCCTGCCATTATCAAACAGTAAAAAAAGGAATTTTCATTAGAATGAAGGGAAAAACTCTTGAGAGTGAGAGTAAAGTAGAGTCATTCTGCAGCATTTTTAACAGTCCAACTTGTCTGGGATGGTTGAGGTGGGCATTTGCTAAGAAACAATGGAATGGCATCTGTATGTATTGTAACTAGCCTATATAATAAAACTCTAATATGCAAATCGACCGAACGGCAGAATGACCAGTCACTATGACTCACACTAACCACTAGGGGCAGACGCTCAATGCAGGAGCTGCCCCCTGGTGGTCAGTGAGCTCCCACAGGGGGAGTGCCATTTAGCCAGAAGCTGGGTTCACAGCTGGCGAGTGCAGCAGTGGTGGCAGGAGCCTCTCCTGCCTCTGCTGCAGGTGGGCGGTAAGGAGTGAGGGGTCTTGGGGTCTTGGATGGCAAGAGCCCCGAACTGCAAGAGGGATGTCTGATTGCTGGCTTAGGCCCAATCCCTGGGGGCATTGGGCCTAAGCCAGCAGACAGACATCCCTTAAGGGGTCCCGGACTGCGAGAGGTGCAGACCAGGCTGAGGGACCCTCACCAGTGCACGATTTTCATGCACCAGGCCTCTAGTTGTAATATAGGAGTGGGAAGGTGGAGTGGTGCAATCCCATATTTTCTTCCTAAGGAATGTGATATTTGAAGGTGGGGATGACTTGAATCAAGAACTTAGTGGCAGGATTAGGAAGAATTTTGTAAGGACTTAGATTCTCTGATGCACAGGGGTGGACTAGGTCTGTCTGGCAAACTCCATTTATGTTATCAGCCTCCAGGACTCCAAGCAGACTTGGCCTGTATGTTGTCACCAAAAAACAGAATAAGAAGTGGAGTAATTTCAGGATTTAGTCATGGGCATCTTAGAAAGTGCATGACCCTTGTCACCTGTGAAAAGCATAGATGGTTTCTGGGTTCATCCTGACCCTAAATGAGTATACTCTCTGTTGTACCTTCAGGAATCAGTGTCTGAGCACATAATTATTCACTTAACATTCAACACCTACTGGGGGCTAATGTGCAAGGCCCTCTACCAAGACCTCTGGGGAATCAAAGATAAGAAGACAGTCCTAGTTTCTTGTGTAGTTTGATATAAATGGTGGTGTTGTACTCACTGGACATTTTTACGTCACTTTTCCTTATCTTTGGGAAAGTGTTTTTGCAATCAGATTTGTTAGTACCAACCACCCCAGTCATACTGCAGACGCCTCTAGTGCAAACACATATCCTATATAATAAGAGAGGAATATGCTAATTAGCTGTTACGCCCTGAGGCGTAATGACCAAGCACATCAAGACCAGATCACGGATCAGCAGGAGGGTGGGCCAGCAAGATACAAGCGGGCTGCAGAGAGCTACAGGAGGGTCAGGGCAGCAAGCTATGAAGGGGGGAGGGGGAAGGGGGTGGGAGGAACCACAGGAGGGTGGGGCAGCAGGCAGAGAGCTACAGGATGGGGCAGGGCAGCAAGCAAGTGGAAGGCAGAGAGCTACAGGAGAGGGCAGGGCAACAAGCTATGAGAAGGGGTGGGGGGAGTTACAGGAGGGCGGCAGCGACCTACTGGCACACGGATTCCTGCGCAGGGCTACTAGTATTCTTTATAACTATCCTCAGGCTGCCCTTATACACATTCCTGAAATGTAGTAGAGAATTAATACTTTTCTATTAAGTCATTTTCTTATTGGCTTCCATTTAGTCCAAAGGAGGAGAATGTCACATATACATTTCTCTTTGATAAAATACGCATTCATTTTTTTGGCTAAACCATTTTTCTAAAAAAAAAAGAGAACTCAAATGTACAGCTAATTCCTGTTATTTTCCAATTTACCAAAAATATTGTATGAAAATGTGACACAGAATTAGTGCCAATTTCTTGGGGGCATGACACATAAATATTTGAGAAGTCATCCTAAGCCTGTGTATTTGACAAAACTCATTTGGGGCAGGTACAGAAAGGTAATGTTATACCAGTTGATTTGTTTGCCAAGTGTTTGCTCTAGTATATACAGATGTTACTATTCACTGGAAAGGCTGACTTCTATAGAAGTAACAATTATTCTTGGCTAGTTGACTTCAGTGCACTTTTTTGAATAAACTAAACATAAGTGTATACCTGTACAGTTACATTTGCTTTCTGAAACTATTCTCATTGAAGCCCTATAAGAAGGATGACACAGACTAAGATTGATAGAATCAAGGAGTTGGAAAGAAGTTCCATACCCATCTTTTGATCTAACAAATGGTAGAATTTCTTTACCAATAATAGTTTCTTATAGGCATCTTGACATATTTGAAGATTTATTAATATATATTATGACTATGGAAAATCACAAGGGAAAGGCCAAGATCACATTGACTCTGAACTTCAATATTTTCCAGTAAAAAACATTATTTTAGATCAGCTGTTCCTAAAATACATGTCCTTTCAGTTTTTTGAAGTACTACTTTCATTTCAGCAGTTTTAGTCTATCTTTGATTTTTTTCTTGTTGTAACAGTTTCTTCTTCAGAAACAATAATAATGTATACAATGGATTTTGTATATCACTTTTTCTTTTATATATGTGTCTTTGATTTTTAAAACATGTTATTTTGTGTCATTTTCCTCCATTATGTCTTTCATACGCCTGTTCTAATGGGACACTTATTTATGATTTTTATTTTAATCCCCATTCTCCCCCTAAAATCTAGAGAACTCACTTTCTTTTTTTTTCTATCTTTCATCTGATATTATATTATTTTTAGCTCTTTTTAATTTGGTTTCTAAGTGTTAAGAGAAAATTTTGACATTTTCTACTGCTCTCATGGACAATTAACCTGTTATCTAAATTCTTCATTTTCCTTATGTATTCATTTGATAATTTATATTTGTTCATTTATTTTAGTAGTATCAATACATAGCAGTTCCTTTTTGATTTTATGGTTAGTTTTTGAAGGGATGCTACAATAGATTGGATTATTGTTCAGCCACATGAACATATGTATAATTTCTCATAGTTGATCTCCATTCAACTAACTTGCTGGGTTTGTCAATTCTCTATTCCTTCTGTAAAAATTCTTGACTTAAATAATGCCCATAGCACACTAAATACTCTCAATGAATAGTTTAGTTTCTAATATACTCATCTATTTTTACTCTCATGATTTGAGTCACATATTTACTAAGTCAATTCCTTAACCCTAAGTCATACTTATTTATATATCACTTAATTAAATACTATATAAACCAAAGAAATATTATTATGAAAACAGAGTTGTTTGGAGGACTTCCTGTTTCCAGTCTGGCACATAAGTGCCCTAGGAGTCACCATTCTATATAATAAAAGGCTAATATGCAAATTGACTGAACTACAGAATGACCAGTCACTATGACGCGCACTGACCACCAGGGGACAGATGCTCAATGCAGGAGCTGCCCTCTGGTGGTCAGTGTGCTCCCACAGGGGGAGTGCCGCTCAGCCAGAAGCCGGGCTCACGGCTGGCAAGTGCAGCAGCGGTGGTGGGAGCCTCTCCTGCCTCCACGGCAGTGCTGAAGATGTCCAACTGATAGCTTAGGCCCGCTCCCTGTGGGGATCGGGCTTAAGCCGTCAACTGGACATCTCCTGAGGGCTCCCGGACTGGGTGCAGGGTGGGCTGAAGGCTCCCCCACACAAATGCATGAATTTCATGTACCTGGCCTCTAGTTTCATCATAACTAGTAAGAAGTTGAACAGACTAAAGAATTTGGAACTCTTCTTATATCCATCAGAAAAGTGAGGTCACAGGGCAAACTGCTGCCCCAAATATTGGAGAGACAGACAGGTGGATACAATAATCACAATGTATAGGAGCAAAAACCTCATGGGAAACTGTGCTGGGGTAGGGAAACCTCAACTACAGTTGATGAATTAATTGCTGAAAGCTCAAAGTGGACAAGTCTGAGAGCTAAAGACTTTAAGAAGATCCTATTATCAGGGGTGGGGGGCATTTTTCTGAATTTTACTTGCAGGATTTTTATGAATTCTTCACAGTGAATATCTGGAAAAAATGCTTTATGCTCCTGGCAGAGGGAGGGGAGGAAAACCATTCTGAAATATGCCAGAGTATTATGTTCTTTTTCTTTTCCAAATCTTTATTGTTGAAAGTATTTCACATGTCCCCTTTTTTCACCTCCATTGACCTCTTCTAGCCCGCCCCCTATTGTCTGTGTCCATGGATTATGCATATATGCATACATGTTTTTTGATTGATCTCTTCTCACCCACCCACCCTTCACCGTCTTCCCTGAGATTTGTCAGTCTGTTCCATCTTCTATGTCTCTGTATCCATTTTGTTCATCATTTTATTTGGTTCATTAGATTCCACATATGAGTGAGATCATGTGATATTTGTGATACCTGTCTTTCTCTGAGAGGCTTATTTCTCTTAGCACAATACTCTCCAGGTCTCTCCATGCTGTCTCAAAGGGGGAGAGATCCTTTTTTAACTGCTGCATAGTATTCCATGGTATAAATGTACCACAGCTTTTTTATCCACTCATCTACTGATGGGCACATGGGCTGTTTCCAGATCTTAGCAACCTATAATAACAAAATGGTAATATGCTAATTAGATCTGATGTTTT